GTAAGGCGCTATAATAGTATGCACTGCGTTACATGGCCCATTAAAGAGCGGTATGCGCGTCGAGTGAAGAAGAATTTCGCAGAAACTGGCAGCGCTTACAACTACAAATAAAGCTGACGGCGTTTCACGGTTACGGATGAAATATCAGCTTGCGCGGTTGCGTAGGAGGCATGCAGTAACAGCCATCGCAGCATTGGGCAACTCGCACAACATTTCGAAATCACACGACATGCTGTGCCTCGGATATTGAAGGAAAAAGGTGCCGGCGGTACAGTGCGCTGCAGGTGCAAGTGTTGAATGTATGCGATTGGCAGAAGCGTCTTGCATTTGCCCGTTTGGTTTTATACAGTCTAAACGTGTATTCCACTTTGTTCACCGAGGAGGCGGTGTTCCCTTTGCATAATAAAGATCCGCAACATGTTTGGGCCGCAACCTACCCACGGCAATGTACCGCTTTGCGTGTGAAACATAGCACGATGCTCATCGCCTGGGCTGTGTTGACCCTCGAAAAATCATTGGGCCTTTTTCTTTCCCAGGAGTGTGTCTGGTATGTTGTTATTTAACGGCACTACTGTCTGACATTTCGTAGCATCCTCGCGCAACGAATTGTTGCAGAACACCGTCATTCCGCAGCTATCTCCGGAGGGTTTAATGGAGAACGTTCGGTGGCGGCATGATAGCGCACCTGCACAGTCAGCGCAATCGGTTCGCGTCTACCTGAACGAGACAGACGGTGGATGTTGGATTGATCGCGCAGCACAAATAGAATGAGTTGCGCGACCACCGTATTTTAATCTCGTGGATTATTTTCCTATGGAGATAATTGAAGCGCACAGTTATTAGAACAAAAGAAAAAGGGGTTAAAATGTAAGAGAATGTTGCGGACGAATAAAGGCAGATATCTTCGGAGACTTAGCAGAAAGTGCTTGCCAAAATATTCGGTGAATGCTTTCTGAAGCCAGAAAGTCGGAGGGCAATTCGGAACAATAAATAGTTGATATCTAATGATATCTCACACACTGCATGGATATATAATTAAAGAAACGAAAAAGAGGATGGAATAGCGTAGGCAACATCTCGAAGGCTATCCGATCTAATAAACCGTACATACTACGCGGCCAGCTTACGGCTAAAATTGACTTCAACACCAACTGCAAGGACAGACTTCCTCGGTCGAGTACTTCTTTCTGTTTATATTCCTTTACTTGTTCATGTCGAGCAAGTTATGTCGGAAGAACAACCGGGAAGCTGTCTGAGAGAATCCGTGAGCATTGCCCGAGTTGGCTACGTACAGGTGGGACTAAAACAGTGACAAGCGCCGTGTTGGCACATCTATACCATTTTCCGGCCAAGTTGTCCTCTTGGGCAACAGAAATAATCTAAGGGGGCATTCAACATGAGTCTACTCAATTAATTTGTTCCGTGCGTACGCCAGTCCATTGTGCAGGTGTGTAGGTGTGCGCGTATAGCCCGTCACCTTCAGCCAATTGGTCCTCAGCCGCACTAAGTCATAGGGGTGTAGGTGGGACGCTTCAGCTCCTACACACGGAACAAATTAATTGAGTAGACTCATGTTGAATGCCTCCTCAGATTATTCCTGTTGCCAAAGAGGACAACTTCGCTGGGAAATGGTGTAGCTGATTTTAACCACCAGATCAATAGGCACCAAATTTTGACCTATTTACTGCGTATCTGAATGCTACACACGAGCGGTAAGATGTCACTTATGGGCAACAGCCGAAGCGATCACCATCCGTCTCCAGAACCCAGACCTATGTGCACAAAAACAATTCGTTCAGATTGTCTCTCCTACCTAGCCCCATATCGAAGTAACCGCTGCTGAGAAACATGCAACTGACATATCATTGACGGTTTGTGGACAAAGCACATGACCTTGACATTTAGATGACCTAGACTTTTAAATTTACCCATTGAACTTCCGTCTGATGTTTTAACACATTTTCTTTGTATTAGTTATGGTGTACCAGCTGACTATTGTTCTAAAGTCTACACCTGGGATATTTGCTCACTTGAAACAGTCCAAGGATCTCGTTGTGCTCATAGGACTTAACCAGTATGCTAAGTCTGTACAAAGCTTGCGGTAGCGAAAGCATCCGTGCGGATCTTTGATGATTTTATTTTACGTCGCGAATATCCTAAACCAATTTTGAAAAGTACTAAGACGAAATCGGATTAATCCAACTAGTGTGACTTTGAAAAGACACACGTTGAACGAGCGTGACACTATTAGTTCGAAACTTGATGGTTTGGTGCGTAACCGTTGCGTGTATTCCGTCATGCTGGACAGACTGGACACAGATGAACGTAAGCGATTCGAGACGTTTGCTCAACAAATAATCACAAAGCAAGCAGAAAGACGTCTAGCGTCATTACAGCGACAAGTTGGCACGACTAAGACAAACACATTATTTCCACCCGACCCGGAACACTACGTTCAAAATTTGTCCTCTTTGCACCTGGATAAGACACTGTTCGAGGTACTTACACATGGTCCGAAATTCTGCTGTCCCCGTAGTTATTCAGGACAACTAGTATTAGAGATTTAGCTCGAAAACGTGTGTTCACGGGTGTATACACTTACGCCCTCGTCAGCATTAGTGTCCGGGCATTTTAAACCTATCCTGTTTAATACACGTTATCAGTACCTGAAGCACAAAGCCAAACTCAGGTACATGCTGAAGAAAGACAACCTAGACGCTCTCAATTCACTCAAACAAAACGGGAATGTGCCTCTCACTAGGCCAGGTAAAGGGGCAGGGATTTTTCTGATGGAGAAAGTGAACTATATTGGCAAGATGAAAGTCGTCCTCAGCGATCGCGCAGAGACTCGTAGGATGTAGAATGAGGGAGACAAAACAGCGGCAACAGAAAAGACAGTTACTAGGCCTCTGCGGCACTTGAAACAAGAAAACTCGATTGACTCTACCACGTACGAACCACTTCGACGCACGGGGACGATAATTCCGAGACTTTACGGCCTGGCAAATGTACATAAGGAGAGCCTTCCACTTTGACCCAAATTGAACATTTGCAATTCACCTTACCATGCAGCAACCAAGTGGTTAGCCAAGGTTTTGGATCCAGTGAGAAAACTTTTATTAACGTATAGTCTCCGTGATACCTTTAGCTTCTTAGACACTATAAAACATCTTAACCTAACCGGAAGCAAGATGTTTTCGTTGGACATCGTTCGCTCTTCACGAATGTTCTCTTAGAAGAGACAATATTCTAGTGTTGCGACACCATTCGAGCGCATCAACTGAACGTCGGCTTTTCGAACAATCGGTTGAACCAGCTACTTATGCTGTGTACTAGTAACATACAATTGCATGTTAATGGGGTATTATACAGACAAAATGACAGTGCAGATGGGCTCACCGCTAGGACAGCTGCTGGGAGATGTACTCATGAGCAAATTAGAAAGCAACTACCTGAGCGGAGTCATTAGCGTATTACCATATTACGTCCCCCATCGACCAGTCATCAGATACGGTCAGGCTGCTTTTCTCAATTGCTAGCACATCGTCCCACTAACCACTACGCAGGGAACATTTTTCCTGGCTTCTTCACTTTCGTGAGCGCTGACTACCGGCCGATCGATGCATGACACATTCAGTGTGGCTATGGTGTCTGGCTGACATCCAGTTCGCACAGCCGAACAGCCTGCGTTCCGTTGGTCTTGCCTTCGTTGCACGCATGTCAGGTCGATTGCGGCTGTGGTGATTGCTAAGGTTCAGTTCTCACAGCCAAACGGCTCGGTGTGTCTTGCAATCGTTGACAAACCTGTCTCGCCTCTGTGCCCCATCTCACACCTGCCTGCAAAGCAATTTGCACCATTGTACAGTTAGCACTTTAACATATCAGGGTACCTCAGCATCTGAGTACAGCCGCTCCTAGATTCGAAGATTATTAAGAAAATACCCTGTTCGTGACTTTTCGTTTGATTGCAAATGCTATAAATACTATGTGAATTTTGCTGCGGGAAATCGAGGATTGCTCTGTAGCTGATTTACAAGTCAGTTTTTGCTTGCATGCTGTTGGAAGGCATTATTTATTCGGACCAAACATAGAGTTCAACGTTTGAATTTGCGCTGGGATCAGTGAAACACTGCTCAAAGTTTTCTAATCCAGGTGCATGTAGAATAAACTGTAGTGTACTTAGGAAAATGGTCTCTCCAGTTGGCGTTTGCAAAAAAGTCAAGTGTGTACAGATTCAATGATGTGTGACAAAATGTCACTGAGGAACGGCGAGAAAAATCTGATGCCCATAAGCATGTTCAGCACATAACAGTTACGTGCTGTAATTGCATCTACTCTAATACATCGGTCCTAATTGGTGCCAAGAACGTTGGGTTAACGAATATCTATCTATTCCACAACTGACACACAAATTAGTATATTCGTTAACCGAAACAGATTAGTTGGATAACCCTACTACTGAAGACGGAGGTGGATCAAGACTAGAGGACAATAATGGATATATGCATTTTTTGGAGTAAAGCCTTTTTAACGTGTGTGATACATTCAATAGGTAGGCACAGTGTTCTCAGGGAACGTCCGATATTATCATTTGTTTCATGTGCACTAGATTTTGTACAACTTCAAGTTACTAACGGAACTCGGATGATAGAAATTGTAGTAGCAGCCTGTTATTATTTAGATCAACATATATTTTAATTACTAGCTTATGTGGTTAACTGGTTAAAAATTAGATTATTACAGATAGCGTTTATCACTTTATTTGTGTTCAGGATGCATAACCGTCAAGACTTTAGACCTATAGCGTTTGTTCTAACATATATGGGAAAAATACTTTGGAAATGATACAATGACGTTTGATGTTTGGGACAAAATCACGTAATGAACAAGTCGCAACAGAAAAAGAGAACACTGCGGTATTGAGATAGTTAAACTCGCCTAAAGTACACAAAGTTTAAAACAGCCCACAATGCAGTTTTTGTATTGTATAGTTTACTTACCTGAATAGAGCCAACGTCAATCCGATGGAAGCGAACACAAGGGTAGCGCTCCTTCAACTTACCAAGATCATCATCAATCGTCCAGCAAGGAACGCACCACTCCGCGTAGAATTCGATGACGACGAGGGCAGTAGCACTTTCAGCAACCATGCTTTTATAAGATTCCTACAATAAAAGAAATGAGCTTCCAATCACAGAAAAGGTATAAAGTAGCCCAGAGCCAAGGCATAGTTTGATTAACAAATTTAGGACTTATTATCTGTTATCATGAAAGAGTGGTTAAACTAATATTCTGTCGGATGCAATTTCAGTTGTAGTCTGCGTTTTTATTATACAGCGCTGTACATGCTATTGGCCCAGATTAGTTGGTGAATTATATTCCTTCGGCAACTGTGCACCTAATCCACATGGGAGGTTGAAAAGGGTGCGGCGTTTAATGGAGTAATCAAAGAGTCCAAGTGCACTAGTGTTTTATTCCAAAGCGAGCAAGGATTCAAAATCCTAACTAATAACTTTCATGCGGCGAATACTGGCCTATAGGTAGGTTAAAATAATACTATTGGCTATCCGAGTGTAAAACTCAGAATACGACTTAAGCAACGGTGCATGTTGTAGTGTTCTAATAATTAAGTAAATCCACCGACAAACACTTTTCTCTCCTATTCGTGCCCAACGTAAATCATCCGTAGTGTTCTCTATCTATATTATAAATGACGGAAATTTGCGCACTAAAATGCACTGTTCATTCGCAACTACAATATCAGCGTTGTTTATTATGTTCTTGCTATTTTCAAATTTGGTGGAAACTCTCTGGTCAATTTCAGAGATCTCATTTATTGGCCCAACTGCAGTCTGTGTCCGCCATCTTGGATTCGTTCTACAGTAATCTAACCAGTGGCAGCCCGACCAACAGCTTGCTCAACAGCGATGGGATTTCGCCTATTCATGTAGGCTTTACAACGAACGATCTCCGCAGAACTGACAAACATAATGGCCCGTACTTCTTGCCCACAAAAAGCTAAGTCTAAAGCCTCCGAAATGAAGTTTAGTTATGATACAGACAACTGTGTTAAACTTGTGCGCTTTGGAATAGAATGCACAAAAGGTCGAAAACATTTCATCCTCGAAGTGTTCGTCTTAGTCTCAGCCAGATAAAAACACTTAACAGTACGAACGATGCCATCTAGTTCTGCACCGATTGTACTGATTACTGGCTGGAAGTAGTAAGTGTTGTTTGCTCTGTGTGGCTGCATCTAATGTTGCTCGTCGGATTTATATCTGTGTTGGCACAGAAGTGCGATAGGTTGATCATTATGGTGGAGCAAGCAGCGGCAGTTAAATCTGTCGCACAGGAGCCAGAAAAACCGGTGCCTCGAATTCGTTGCTTAATACCAAGCTCCAATCTAACACCTTGTAGCCAGTCCAGAAATAAGAGTAGCGATTCAGCATTAGCCAGCGCGACAATAACGGCTGCTAATAGTGATGCTTCCGATACACACTGTTTAGCAGAACCATCCGCCACATCAAACATTGTTAAATGACCGATAACGTACGCGTCCGTTGTTGATACCCAAATCACAGAGGCAACTCCCATCGTAAACCTGCCCGCTGCTAAACAATTTAGTGCTAACCTTACCATCACGGTACTCAAACCCCATCAGATGTCCAATTGAAGAAAGTAGCCACTGGTTCCTACAAAAAGGAGAACATGCAACAAGACCATAATGCTATGAATTTTTTTGCTCTAATGTGGTTTACTCCAGGGCGAACCCCATGAAAGTTAAGCTATTCGACGACAATAAACAGGGGGACTTCCTGTGACAAAGAATAGGGGTTCAGGCTTTGACAGTCGATATGATGCGCCTTGTCAACCACACAAACTCCGTACACTACGATGAACAGCGGTTACTCCAGGTACCAATTCTGTCAGGTAATAATGCACAGGCAGTTCTCTTGTCAGCCACTCGCCTTCGTACTACGTCACACACTGTTCGAGATTTTCCCGATCTTCCCTGGAGCGAAGGCCAGAAAAGCAAACAAATCCGGATGACTTCCGTAAACAACAAGACGCAATATCTATCCTTATTCACCGTGTACTCGAGCTGAAGACATTAAGCGAGCTAGAAGTCAAAGTACATGACTGAGATGAATGGGGTTTTATCAGTGAAGTGCTCTCACTCAAAACTGTTATCGTTAATTCAACATCATGGTTACGGCTATCACCTAACCAAAATAGGTGTGGACCCCGAGTACCATTGCGCTCCGAACGGTTGACAGAACATGTGATCAAAATGTGCACAAAATGCGTAATGTGCTGCCATCCGAAATACATATAAAGGCGATAGGCACGAGGCCGCAGATAGATAAGGTGACACTGTTCAGGAAAATTACCAATACCATTCCGACACCGTGTAGTTCAGAACAGAAACAGTAGCAAAACACGCCGGCAGTTGAAGGAGGAAAGGATGGTCCCCCGCTTGCTGTCACTGAGAACTCTGTGCAACAATCAAAACTGGCCCTGTGTCCTGCGCCGTTGGTCCTACAGAAATCGACCAGCAGCTGACCCCGCAAGGGTCGGCATAGACCCTCACCGGAAATCAGCATTTACCTACACGCTTCTAACCACCGATGAGCTCAGCTGCTTGTATACCAATACACAAGCTCTTCACAGTATGCTAAATAAAATTCATAAACGTCAAGTCTCAAAGCCTTGGGACCTAGTTATGGTCACGGAAACATCACTGAACACGGAGATCACCGATACTGAGATTGCTCTACTCGGCATGCCTTACATACGAAAAGATCGACGTAGCAGAGGAGGCAGAGTGTCCGTGTATTGTCGATCCGAACTGCATGTTGCTATCATTAAGGACGCAGAAGCGAAATTCGTCGGTTCTCCTTGGTGTCGTATGCATCGAAGACATGGTGACGCGTGTTTCCTAGTAACAGTTTACCGCCCTCCAAAGTCCACCTTGGAAATGAATCAGTACCCAGCTTCTGCGATAAATCGAGTCCCGGCACTACCGCACAGTCAAGTCCTTCTGCTGGAGGACTTACAACTGCGCGTTATGGCTGTTCCGGTATTGTGCAGCGACCAATTCAGGACTAACTTGCAAGAGTTAATCGCCGATGTACCTCTGTACAATCACGTAACATCACCACCGAGATTCCGAACGGGTGACGCACCCACCGTTTTGCACCTTGTGCTCAACAACGAGGAACGAATGGTCCACAACATGACCATAGATAAAGCATTTGGCCGTAGCGATCATGCGATGTTATCTTTCGTTACACCTGCCATTCTATGTCAGAGAGAAAAACGAGGAAACCTATGTCACCAACCGTCACGATATCCTTTCGAACCTTGTGCAATAAACCGACTGGTCTTTCCTAGCCGAGCAGCCGCCCGATGTTGCTCGCATGGCGTTTTTGGCCCAATTCACCGAGCTAGTGGCAAACGCGTCAGAAAGAAAGGTCTTACACCCAAATCATGTGAACTTGTTCCTGAAATGCCCTACTAGAAAATGCATGGTCTTAAGGGATTCAGCCTGGCGAGCTTACAAACTCTCCAAATAATCTGGCCTGGGGTGCATAACAACCGAACGAAATCACTGCGTTACTCCGCGATGATACACTAAAGCACTAACTGAACATAGTGACGCAATTTAGTAAAAATCGCAAGTTGCTTTACACACATGTCGACAAGCTAGAGAGGGTGCAGCTGGGGATCCCAGTTTTACCTGCAACAGATTGTCCGGCGCAAACTACACAAGGTACGACTAAGGTGCTCCGGCAACACTTCTTCCACATTTCCTAGAGTAAATTATCATCCCACCCGCTTTTGACATGGCTCCCATCGTTACTAGGGTTGAAACACGTGTCGTGCGCGCCAGCCAATATGATGAAAATACTAATGTCACGCGTGCACAGTTCTCCACGCGCGGACGGCTTCAACAGAAGGCTTTGAAGACAGCGGATTTTAATCCTGCCGAGCCATTAGGTCGGCTCTCGTAACGTGTCTCAACGAAATGTAGGTACCCACAATAGGGTAACACGGAATAGTCACTCTTATTTATAAGTGTGAGAATCGTGCAAATTCTCGAACTACCGTCCAAGCACTATTCTCTCAGTGTTATCCAAAGCAATGGAAGGTATAATTGCTGAAGTCTTTTGCGGATACCTTGAGAGGAAGAAAATTCTAGTGCCAGATCAGCATGGATTCCGTTAAAATCCGTCATGCACTATAAACTTGCTTCTAGGCTGAGCAAGATGGACAGAACCAGGCGATGCCAGAGTGGGAATTGCGTCGTCTACCTAGATTTCTTCAAAGGTTTGCATCAGTTGTACCGCCGCATTCTCCTACACAAGCTTTGATACAATGGAATCAATGACACCGTGCTGGCTTGAATAAGCAACTTCTGCACTCATCGCCAGCTGACTGTGAGATTCCACGGCTCCATTGTTGGCCCAATTGGTGTCCAGTGTGTCGTGTCCCATGGATTGGAACTGGACCACGTTTATTGCTGACATCCGTTAACAATCTTATTAGTTTACTGCAGTCGGAGTTCTTATTATTTGCAAATGATGTCAAAGTCTAGCATAACTAACAGCCTGTGGATTATCACATGGCTCCGCAGAGTGATCTCGATAGTGCTTATACTTGGTCAACGGATAATCTGCTCAAGTTTAGCGTGGCAAAGTGGAATACTGTGAGCATGCGCCATCAGCTTACCCATGAATATCAACTTGGCGAATAGCAGCTGCAACGTGCTTTCAAGAAAACGACATCGATGTGATCGCGCAGGATGATCTTGGCTTCTCGAGACAAGCTGAAAACGCTTGGAATAAATATCAGGTAAACATCTTGGATTCTTACGATGAGCTCTCGGAAATTGTGAGTTATCCATCTTTCCCCAAATTTTGCACTTCTACGTGAGGTCCCACGTGGAATATGCGATCCAGGCCTGGCGTCCCTGTCGCAAGGGCAACTTCGATGCACTTGGAGCACTTCAACGTAGAGCAACCAAACTCGTTAGAGGATTGCTTCATCTCTCCTCCCAGCGCATGGTGAAGTCCCTGACTCTAATTTGGTGAATATCAAGGTCAGCAAAGCGACCTCCTCATGGTATACTTAATGCTGACAAACCCTATTCTCTCATATCGCAATCTGTTTCAGCTGATCAACAATAGCAAAGAGGTCATCAGCTAAAACTGGCTACGCACTACTGTAGATCTGATTGTCGACGAAACGTTTTCTCCCTCCGTGTGTCCCGTGCCTGGATTGCCCTTCCGACTCAAATCATCTTTTACCCTACACTACCGATACGCAAAAAAAGCTTTGATGGAACTTTTCAACTTGCATTAACTCATAAAATCCGTTTCACTCGGAGGGCGAAATAACGCAAACTGTACCATGTGCCTAACGGCCCTCTCCGCAAAGTGGCGGTGAGGATACATGCAGAAGGTACTTGTGAGTTGCATGGATGTAGCCAAACTGGATTCATTTAACGCATTGGTCAAATAAGGCATGGGACGAATGAGGTTGGTCGTTTTGTTTTTATTTCTCATGGTTTTAGTAAACTACAGCTGTTCTATGTACTATCCTATGTGTACACATCCCATCTCCATTAAAATCTATCGTTACGCAACAACGCATTTTAATCGGTAGACACTAAAAATAACCAGTTACCTGTGGTTGATCCTTACAATTTTAGTTTTCACTCCAAAGGTCTTACGAGACTTTGCTATATTACACTTGATAAATAATTGTTCATTGTGCATTATTGACATGCTCGTTCTAGCTATGTAGAAACAACATTTCAATAGCGTTTAACAATAAAAGGGAGTTTTACAAACCTTGCACTCGCGTGGCATATTAATAATAATAACGCGTAGCATAATAAATGGTGTGAGCAAACGAATTCATTATTTAAATCAACAGCTGTTGTTGGGCGAAACCGCTCGGAATACTCTTGCCTTCAAACGCAGTAAGAGAAATAATATATTCGTAATTTATGGACGGCTAAGGCACAGTACTTCGGACCAGCGCTCAAGGAACTTATATTTTTCAAAGTTTTACTTGTGCCGCACTTAGCCACGATCAAATGTTTCGAGGACAACACGGATGAAAGCACTCAAAATTCGTTTTAAAATAATGCACGGTGACCTGTCATACACTCACTTGTTTGCTAGCGACAATTCAACTGCGGCAAGGCTGTGAAGTGGCTGCAACTACATCTATATTGCTTAAAAGCATGTCAATTATAAGTAATATTCGGATAATTTCATATAAACTGTACGAAAGTGATATAGAAGCCAGATCAAACCAACACTTACGCTCTCGGAGGTGCTCATCGCACGTAATACGTTTGTGATTACAGAACTGCGTGTTCCACTGATACAAATAGTCGCAAATAGCTCTAATGATGGGTCTATTATATATGTAAACACTTGCTAATATGTAAACAAATAATAAGCATATCGGTCAGCATTATTATTAACTTAAGATGTATGATTCAAATAAAGCCATATAATAGGACTGTTTAGATTACAAACGAAACGAATTCCTTGACTGGTATACTAACGGCCAAGTGTAACATATGGTCGTCTTTGTTGCCCACACAGACTGTCAGCTTGGCATATGCAACTACACTAAGAGAAACGGAGACACGAAGCAATGCGACAAATTCGACATAGAGGTATCTTATTGATGCTTATTACGTGGCGCACTGTTGGCAACGAAAAAATTTGCATAAACAGGAGGAAATTCTCATCAAACATACTTAATCTTTATATCTGAAAAATATGAATGTATGAAATTGTAACGCATTGAATAGCATACATATTACAACCCCACTTGTTGAATAAACTCCTCTACGGTCTCCTGAACATAAAATCACACTTTAAAACTCTATCAGTGATCATCCATTTGGAGAATATTTTTCGCACCGTCAAAAAATAATATACAAGTTATTTTGGTACACTATACTGCTTCGTTGTTACGTTGCTAAAATGATAGAAAACTCGCTATGAATACTGCACCTAATGACAACCTCTTGTCTTTTTAAAGCAATGTCGCAATATTTAGCCCCATAGAGTTCGTTTTTGCACCTGCTTCTTGCTCTCGGCGCAAAATCATTAAGTAGCGTCACTTAATTTGCATTACCTGTGACAAGTTACTAGGATAAATAAGTTCATCTATGTACCGGAGAAAAAAAGGCATTTAGACAATAACAGCTTTACTGGTAAATAGCAGCTGCATAAAACTTTCATTCTTGTAATGGCTGCTTGCTATCAGCATCGAATTGCTGCGTGCCGCTACTCAATGTATGGTACTTGTAACGAGTTATGACGTAGAAACGAGCTCACCTATGTAACAGAGATAGAAACAGATTTAGGCAGTATCAGCGCTGCTGATAACCAAGAGTCACATACGCAATCGTAAGGTAGATATGCTTACATGGTCTTTGTGTCGGGCGGTTTAATTGCTGTTGGCACGGAACATACGCGCAAAACTAGCTACAAATCTTTCCAGAAAGCATAGCAGCGCAGGCAAGGGTTAGTGCGATTTGCGGTCGAGGACGATGCATATGTGTACCGGGCTGTTAAATAATTGCGTGAGAGTGGACCACCGTTGGACTAATTAAATGGTGTAGGCACACGGGGAAACAAGATACTTGCGGAACAACCGAGCAATATCACTCGGATAAAAGCAGATCACTTCGGACCTCTGCGCAAAGGTTTTCGAAAAGAGAAAACATAGGCCACCACTCAACCAATATGAAGGCTGTCTGCCACTGTTAACTTTGGGCGAAAAGCGACCGTAATACCCGATCCAGCTAAAGACCTTTTACAAGTTCCATCTGGCTCCACCTCCAATCTTCCTGGCCGTGTAGAAACATAAAAGCGGTTAGAAACGTGATATCTTAGGAACATTTAGGACTCGAAGTTTTTATCTCATATCAGGTAAATTAACGGTTAGGATTGTGAAGGGAGCAGAGAGAGGAAAACTTGGTATCCCATATCAACCTAATAGAAAAAAGCAAGGATTTCACATCCCTTTGAGACGAATCTTTGTAATTTAAAATAGAAGAAGGAACGCTGTCCAACTTTTCAACTTGTTTTGTGTTTACTTCGCGGTTTCAAATGGTGCGGAGGCAAAATTAATTCTCAAACCCATAACGATAGTCAACTGGAAGGCCAAAGCTGGTAGAATACTATGTTGAATGGCGTCTATTGATCCGATTAGCGTGTTGATATAGATGCCTAAATGGTTCTTGCGATTGGAATGATCAAGGTCTAACTCAAAATGAACCGAGGTCTCAATAGAGGTTGCGTGTCACAATCCAAACACACAGCGGGTTCTCCAAATCCAACTTTGATTCCGTTTCCGCTGTGCCAAGCGTTGCACGCGGATCTCAGTGGCTTAGTGATCAGGACCTCAGTCGTGAACAACTAGGCTCTGCACTCCAACTTAGGTCAGGCTATATCCACCTGATGAGTTCAAACCAGGACGAAACCAGTATTGGGGTGTTAGGATTAGGTGATTGCACTTAAATTCTCCTCCATGAATTTTTACAAAATGTGCATACATCAAGTAAGTATTTATTCATCTAATTCTTATCAAACATTTTTATTGCCACTGTTCAGTAGTTCTTGAGTAGGATAGTTAGTATAGTTGTCGGAATGCTTCGGTTTTTAAGTGGCAGATCGGCCTACAAGCATCGCACAAACAGAGGATTTACTAGGGGCACAACGAACTAATTTACTCTTCCGTAACCCGTCCAACACCGCCTGTCTTGTCGCCATTACATCCTGGTCTCACTTGGTTTTTTCTTCCATTTGTATTGCATTGTATTATTTAATATCGTACTGAATAGTTTAATAATAACCTTATAAAAATACCTATGGCTAACTTGTAGTTTTAGCTCATAGACGCATTTGAAATGGCATAGCAGTACGGCCACGATTTCACATAAACATCCGACCTTCCTGTGCGCACCAGCTAAGCTCATTTTGGTTTAGCGTTTCTTCCTACTTCAATTCTCCACAGTCGGCAGGAATCATTCGACTTTACACATCTAGATTCCTCTTTTATTCACAAATACCCTCTACGGGACTCTGGCGTGTTTAAGAGTGCATGAGGCCACAAATATTCGTGATTTCTGAATGCACTGATACAGTTCAGTGGATTTTGCATGAACATCTTTGAGAGATAAACACTTTAGCCTTGGTGTTCCGTAAAAATGTGCATGAACCCGCCTGAAGCTCAAGTTCAGTTGGGACCGAAACAATGGGATGATCCCGTAAATGCTCCTTGCTTTGCATATCTTTGGATCAAGAATTGATAGGTCTGCTTGATATGTTAAAAAACCAATAACAGAGACGGCATCACACCCCGTCCAATCACTTACTGTCCACATTTTCCTGCCCAGCAGTCCCTGGCAGACTGGTTTATGTGAAGTAAGTGAGTGAAGGCTTACTAATTGTGTGACTAACCGATGAAGTCCTATAGGAAAGTTACTAGAAGTGAAGAAGCTGGGTTGTACGCTACAGGAACCGAAATATGGTTGTTATAAGATGACTGAATTCAGCAATAACAATTGTAAAATATTAGCTCCCAGTAACTGGTAAGATATTTAAGAAGTACGGCCATAAACCTTTAGCATTAATTTAACCAAGTGAAGTTATTTCGTGAATTTAAGGAGCTGAGTTCATGCGAGCATATCTTCTGGATACTGCCTAAAAATATATCTTTAAACAAGTATTGGGTAAATTAGTCGCTTTAGCAGTTTACATGCCAACTGGATTAGTGGGGGCTTACAAATGATGTCGAATCATTTTAGACTATTCATGTACACTGCACGTTAATCCCTAATTACTGTTATCAACGTGTGGCCATTTAGAAATTACGCTCATCTGCCTTTTGATCTACCACATGCAATGCTCGACGCATCTTACGGGGCGTAAAGTTATCCAACTCGGATTTAGCAGCGCTATCCAGCGATCCAAGCACGGTAGCATTAACTAGCACACACCATCTTTGCTTCCGTTACTGCAATTTCAGCAAGCTTTTCATCGAAGTACAACGGTATCACAAGTTTATTTTCGAGTGCATGACATCATTTGTACCGGCATTCGACTGAGTGCTCTTAGCGAGTTCCAAACAACTCTTTGCCCCAATAATCCGACAGTAAGCTTGTATCTGCGGCCTGTATAACAATCAAGACCTTAACACACGCCAATCTAGCATGGACTCTACCATATTCGTCAAAACGCAAATTTTCACCAAGTCTAACCCGATCGATATCACAATGCCCATTGCACGTTCATTGCCCTCCGTCGGTTTCGTTTACAAGTGCAGTTAGACACATTGTCAATCTACATCTTGTGCCTGTACGAACATGCTCGGCGGGCGCAATCTACTGATAAGACTGACTCCTCAGCAATGGTTCGCAACACAGCAACAAGGAAATCAATTTATCCGCGGTTCCCTCAGCCGCAAACAAACTTATTCGTGCTTTGAAATCATGTCGCAAGACCATTCGAATTGGAGCGAATTGCGATAACTGCGGAAAGAAAGTTCATCCCCGGAGTGTAAACATAGACGACGTGAAAGTAAAAGAAAGACGTTGCACACCAAACTCCATTTGATTTTGTTCTGAGTGTATGGTCAACCCACCTGTGAGGTGCATCGCCTTGCTGGCTGAGAAAGGTTACGAACTAACAATGATTAAGTTGTGGGCAACGGCTGATGTAACGGTCGCATCGGAAACAGCTGCAGCCGCACTCGACTCCTATTGCCGAAGAGTATGCTCAAACTTAAAACCAAACAGCTAAAACCACTGTATATGTAACGACTTACATTCAGATACCACGAAAGCGATAACGCCCTAATAGGCGGCCAACGAAGGACTGCGAACCCCAGAGATTCCGATGTTGCAGAGATTGGTCCCTCTCGGTGCTATGTTCGTGTCACATAATAATATGCTGCTTACTGGTTTACTTAACACTACCGAAAGTCTGACAACATTTGCATCTATCGTCACTGCATGTAGACCCAAGGCAAAGTTAGCGAGTATATCTACAACCAATCGAAAGATTGTTCTAAGCGACACAAACACCAACATGCATCCAAAAGACTGTCCACCACGTCGCCAGTAAGAGGAGGCACTCTGTTATCCAAAAGTACTAAAAACAAGAAGACACAGAACTAGATGAATATAAGATGCTTCAAGGTGCCTGAGTCAAAGGCAAACACAGTTAAAGGCAAACTACTAGACAACCTAAAACAGTGGGAATAAAAGTGGCAAGCAAAGGGAATGAAAATCAAACAAACTACGTGGTTTCCTTTC